AAAAAAAAAAAAAAAAAAAAAAAATTATGTATCTATATTATATCAAACCGTAAATCACTGACACATTGCGCATGCGTATGTGTTCGAGTGTGTTGGAGGAGGGGGTGGGGGTGGGGCAGAGGTGTACGGGGAGGTAATGGTTTGGCGTTTTCCAAGCGAATTAAAATAATACAGTGTATATATATTAAATACTGTTTTACACGCCTCGAAAACTTTAATATATATTTTATTTTCGCCCGCCCGGAAGACCCCGATAAAACAACATAGATGAGAATGTCAAAAAAAAAAAATTAAAAAAATTCCTAACCTCCACGCAATAATGTATATCGTCACTCAATATACAATATTCCGCCGTCTCGAGTTTTTTTTTTTTTTTTCATTTCCCCTATCACCCCTTTAATCTTATACCTATAGCATATAATATAATTATACATAGTGTAAAGTACGAAAAACACTCGTTTATATAATAATCAATTATTATATTATACGATTATTTATTATTTATTTATAGCTTTAGGACTAGAAAAAAAATTATTTTATAGAATTATTATTATTATTATTACACAGAGTAAACCACCCGCGGGCGGGAGGGGGTGGTGGGAGAGGTTTTCTCGGCCAGAGGGCCTCGAACTGATACAATTATATCGAAAAACCGACAAACGTTTGATTCGTATCTATACATGCGTAAACTATCATATTAATTGTTATCGTTGCGTTTTTTTTTATGAAGCCAATTTTTTTTTTTTTTTTTTTTTTGGTTTGCGTTCGTTTCGAAACGACCGTGCGATTTTCGAGTAGTCAAATCTACGCGTTGTAGCTAGACGATGACGTGATACGTCGGCGTGCTACGATAGTGCGTTGAAAAAACGAAAGAAAAAAAACATTATAAATTTACCTAAAAAAGCCAAGATTCGTTTGTTTAATTATTATTGGATTTTGATTGTTATTTAACAACGGAAATATCGATGTAAAAAAAAAATTGTATTATTAGAGATATTTTACTGTTTTTGTTTGGTTTTCGTCGTTTTGTGCACAACAGTCGTCGCCAGCAAGATTTGATGCCTAAAAAACCGTTTTTCGTTTCTTTTTTTTTTTTTTTAATTTTCCGTCGTGAATATTTTATTTGATTTTAGTATATCGTGAGATCTTATACATTGCATTATATTATTGTATTATAACATTCGGTACAATTATGTCGGTCTCGGTTTCGCGTTTATATTATAATATTATATAGGTAAATATTATATATATATACTTGTATTTTGTATTTGTTCGATAAATTATGATAATATTAATATGCCTGCGCGTCCGATTCGCGTACAATATATGAACAAAATGCAGCCTTTTTTTTTTTTTTTATTTAATTTTTTCCTATGCGATTTGCCGGTTTGATTTTATCGTATTTGCAATATTATAATATTATGGTAATGAGTCCATAGACATAAGTGTATAATGTATAAGGTATTGTTATGTAATAATTATAGTTATTAATAATATTTACGTAACTATTATTATGTATGTATGTTTAGGTTGATAATATTAAATTTTTACATAATAATATGTCGGGTATTTTCTTTTATACGAGTATAAGATAATATAATATTAAAAAAAAAAAAAACCCTAGGAAAAAAACGAATATAATATAATAATAATATTATTTTTTTTTTTCTTTAATGTAATCTTAAATATTAATTTTTTTTTTTATTTGTTATCATAATATAAACATTATTTAGTATAATAAAACATGTTTTTCTTAATTTTTATAATGTTTTGTTTTGTTTAAGTTTAAATTTAATTTTAAATGTTTAAATCATTATATAATTATTGTATAATATAATATAGAAACGATTATTATTATTATTATTAATATAGCATTATTGAGAAAGAAAACCTTTGGTGTAAGTGAGAGTGAGTGAGACGTTTTATAAATTATAAATAATATCTCTGGTGATAGTTGTGAGTTATTTTGAGTCAATCACACGTTTAGGGGCGACTAATATCGGTCAACCTGCGGACAAAAAAAAAACAAAAAAAAAAAAAAAAACTAAAAATAAATACAAAACACACAATCACGTTGAACGTGAGCAAATAAAATAATAATAATAATAATACCAAAACAAATGTAATAAAATATAAGCGAACGATAATGACCTTATGATGGAAGAAATTTATTGACTCTTGCGTTGTTCAATGGTACCCATTGGTAAAAGCGGCCGGAATCAAAGCTCCCTGAAATACAAAATAACATTTCGGTTAGTGTTGTTAGAATGCGTGCGGCGGCTGCAGCGTAAACGCGTGATGACGGAAAGGATCGATTTTCGAAAAAAACGAAATAACAATAATAATATAATATAACAACGGAATATAATACAATTTACTATATTTATTATACTATGCGAAATCAATGTTTAATATCGATTTCGTATTTTTCTAACGGGACGGTGGTGTCCGCGTGTGTTTGTGTGTGATTGTATGTGTGTATCGCATGCTGTTATACAGGAACAAATCAAAACCAAAGAAAAAAAAAAAAGAAAAAAAACACTATTTTCCGGTCCACATACAACACTGTTATGTCAATGCGAAACGGCGCTGGCAAGGTGCGGGAAAGAAGTCAAATTATACATTGTATCCCCGCGTTCTCGAACCCGGAAATTTCGGGTATTTTACAGAATTGACACCAAAAACACCGAAAACGCAGGCGCACGTTAGCTGCAGATCCGCCATAAAAACGTGCATTACCACTCAAAGTCCCCATACCCATGTACAGACCAGTTTTTGGTTTAAGTTTATAAACTGGGAACACATATTGTGTACTATGATGATCCTTGTCTTGATTACGAAAATAAAACACAGTTACGTGAGCACTTTGGATCGATTCCGACTCATAAAAAAATTAACTGTTGAATCTTTTTCAAATGTTATCCTCGCCCGTTTCCCCCGTCTTTCTATTTTGCAAACATGGTCTACGTATTAACCAACACGTTTATTTTCTATTCTCTAAAACAACATCATTCAATGTAAAGTCTCAACTAAAATAACAATGATACATTTTTTTTTTTTTTCATTGTATTGAATGTTGATATTAGGCGTTGATGATTGCTTTTGCGATATAAAGAGAGAGGAAAATATCTGAAAAAATGTGATAGTTATAATTTTCATGGTTTTAAACTGACCTGGATATTTTTTTTTATCCAAAATCAAGTTAAAGACCAACCACATATATATATATATATTTATATAGACAGTTCGTTTATTCTCCAACCGCAAAGCAAGCAACCCATAATTTCCCCGTCACGCGTCGTCCCGTACCATCGATTTTCCGTGTTCTTGTACTACATAATTGTATAGTTAGAAAATTATCGAAAACTCGATTTTTCTCTACAGTCTACACATATATGAACGTTTAAAAGCGTTTCCTTTTTTTTTTACCATAGTATAATATTATATTATCGTAACGAAACGACTACAAGCGAATCGATTTTTATGGATATTCGAAACGAAAAACGGCGTCCGTACGGTAATTATTGTTATTATTTATTTTTTTTTTTTCAATTTTTCGGTTAAACGAATCGTGCAGGGTGACATCTAGTTACGGGTTGTACATAAACAGACTGGAGGGAATAATTTCGCGGCCGACGTCACCACTTCAAAAGCACGCGAAGGTGCGGGTATATAAATATTATGTGTATGTACGAGAGAATAAAAAACACAGAACGCATATCTCTGTTCCCGAGGAAAAAGCGCTCGAGTAAATTCCGAAAAAAACACGTTTTTGGAAAAATTGTCGAAAATTACACGTGGAGAAAATAAAAAAAAAAAAAAAACGAAAAATTTACTCGAATCCTGCTTACTCGAGACCGAGGACATCGTTGTGTACGTGTATATATAGATATACACACACATATACACGTATACACACACACGTGCAGTCGCGGAGACGCGTCAGACGACGACAGCGGCGACTATTCGAAACGCGACGAAAAGTTTTCGGGGGGCGGCGAGGAGGGAGTGGCGGGGGAGGGGGGCGTACTCTCGTATAATTATGCGTGTACCGTGTCGCAACACCGTACATGGCTGCGAGCGCGTAATAGGTCGGCAGGTACACGCGGGCAGGTATTGCGCGCGTGCGGATAACGCGAGGGGCGGGTTTATCGCGGCGAACGCGCGGAGTTTTAGTGGCGGTTCGGAACCCCGGGGGGCGGTGGCGGGCGGCAGAGCGGTAGGTAGTTTTGAGCGCGTGTACACATTACAATGTCGTACGGCCGGCGCGCGCGTGTATGGGCGCGTGGGCGCACGCGAAAAGGAGGCGAGCGCTGTTCCGTATAGCTGCGGGATAGCCCCTAAGTGATTAATTACGACGTTGCCCGGGACGGGCGGCGGCGGCGGCGATGATGGAAGTTGAATAATGTATCCGGACAGATTCCGAGGCGAGTAAATATTATGCACGCACGCATACGTAACGTGCACGCACTAACGGCGGTCGGCCGTACGCGACCCATGCGGGCGATCGCGAAAAGCGGCGGGGAGGGGGGGGAGTAGGGGGGGGCAGAGGGGCAGGGCGGTAGGAGGGTCGGCACACCCTGC